ATCAAGTAAGTATTTCCATCACAGGAGCCGAAGAAGTGGACCTCTTCGAGATGTTCGGTCAGCCAAGCGGGACATGCTCTTCCAAATTTCTATATAGAGTGGCCGAGCCGCTTGATGCGCAAGGGTTTTCATTTGCTTCTTGCATGACCACTTTTTCGACGACTTTTTCCTCGTCGATTCCTCAAGTCGAGCGGAAACCGCTATGTTCTGCGCGCACGAGGCCTTCAAACTACTTGGTTTCGTTCTTGATCCCAAGAAGTCACAACCGCCTAGTACGACCGCTTCAGTCCTAGGTGTCATGTTTAACTGCGCCGCCCTTTCACACGAGAGGCTCCTCACCGTGGAGCCGAAACCCACGAGATTGAAGAATTCTCTTTCCCTTGTCGACAAGGTAATACAAGATAACTATTTGCCTCCCAGTCTCGCAGCTAGTCTTTTGGGAAAATTTGATTTCCTGTGCACTACACTCTTCGGGAAGGTGGGTCGCTCTTGTACCCACGCCCTGCGCCTTCGGCTATGATCCTGCTTCCCCACTGGCCCTCACACCGACTCTCATCCTATCACTGCAGCTCGTGAAGACCATTCTCACCATCTCCCACCGAGGTCAATCCGGTTGGAAGATGATCGCTTGCCAGTCCTGCTCTACACAGACGCTTCGGACGTTCGGTGCTGTTTTGCTCCCCCCACCTGACAACTCTGTGCTTTACTTCAGTTGGGTGGTCCCTATATCTCTCGTGGACCAATGGATCCCCCAAAGAATCGTATATGGGTCAGTTGGAATTACTTGCAGCGCCAGCCGCCTTGAGTACTTGGGCTGCTGAGCTTACCGCTAAGCAGGTCATTCACTTCGTGGACAACGATTCCGCCGCTGCAAACCTGGTTCGAGGTTACTCTCCCGACGGCCCAAGCCGACTTCATGAAACGCATGAGAGCAACTGAATGGATGCCCAGAATTTCTTTTGCATGAGCTGACTTTCCTTTTAATTTTTCTTGGGGACCCCACTGCGCCCGACATGGGGATACCGAGGAAGGCCTACCAGGAGAGCATTGGGGTTTCCCATTCCTTGGTCTCCTTACGGTTGAGTGCAACCGTTCCCACGCGGTGCAAGAGGAGCGTGGTCCCAACGGAGAAAAAGCAAGCGGCAGCTTGATTCCTTATTGGAGCGTCAGAGGTAAGAATATCCACGGTCATTACACACATGAATTGGCAGCAAGACTGTAGCCTTCAAGCCTTCTTTGTCTTCTTCTCCTCCTTTGTTTTCTCAACAGTCAAAGATACTCCGCACAACTGCGTCAAGGCACTGCGATGCCGAGTGGGTTGGAGCTGATCAGCAGCGATGGCTTTGAGATGCAACGTGTCACCATCAAGCTTGAAGATGGGGGACTCAGGGTTGGCTTGCAATCACTGCCATCCTATTTTCTTTCCGGCCCTTCTCCCACCAATTTCGCAACTTGTCGGTTGCTGCTGGCGCATTCCGAAAGAGCTGCTTGCGGAGGTACTGCGTACTGCTTCCTTCTCAAGGCCCAGCATTGCAGCTACGTGCGGTGTTAGAGAAGCCCACAAGTGGCGCGGAACGCCTGTTCCACAGCAGGGAACGGGCGACTACGCAAACATCCAGATTAACACGATTACCAATTACCACCCAGGTCGGCCAGATGGCACCAAGAATCTTTCCTTGGCCGCTGTGCAATGAGGGCCCGTCTCGGATCGTTCCATTGGTATGTAAGTGGATGGATGTTGGATGTCACATCGAGCGAGATGCCAACCCTGAGGTCACCTTCACCATACGAGCCTGACGTCTTGGTGATTGGTGGCCCTGGCCGCGCTCCCAAACTGGAGTACTGCACATAATTTGTTCAAGGCCGACTGATATGAGTTGATTTTGCAAACTTCCCGCTCAGCCTTGCCACCATCTTCTTCAGCAAGTAACCCGAAGGATGTCAAGAAGTCATAGGCTTCACCCAAGTTGGCCAGCATTCCTTACCATTCCTCCCACGCAGAGGCACATGCAACTTGCTTGCGTTCCTCACCTGCTCCCACTCTGTTGCACACCGATGAAAGAATTCTCCCAATGGCCTTGCAAGTTTGGAACAACTCTTGCACATGGAGAACGGCCCGAGGTTCAAGCATTTCCAGCGCCAAAGGAGCCGATGAAAGTTGCTTAGTTACATCCAGTAAGGCTACAGCTGCTGGCGGGCGGGCTGGTGCTGTTGTGCAGCAAGCCGATTCTGCACCCGCTGGCAGATCATGCCGCCTCACGGCTTCATGATCTGGTCGCTGTGGCTGGTCATGCTCGGTTTCGCCCGCCATTGGTCAGAGGGCGCATCAGTGCTAGCTGCGCAATTGGCATACGGGAAATCTGCGCGCGCGGTGCTGGCTGCCCATGGAAGTAAGTGATGCCTTGCTTCTGTCAAGACACGGGCCGGCTTCCACAACCGCTCTACAGTGTCCCACATACTCTTCTGAATGGGCCGAAGGCTGAGGTCATGTTGCGCCACAATTGAAACGAAGAGTTTGCAAAACAGTCAGAAGTCAGAGCAAACGCTGCCTTCAAGTGTGCTGTTGCTTCGGTTCTGTCGGGGCATGGATCATGTCGCGACTCCTCTTTCATTAGCCAAAAAGTTCAAGCGTGGCAGCGGCTGCGCGTGGCCGACCTGGGCCCGAGGGGGCAAGACGTCTTTACCTTTGGGGTACATTAATTGCAATATTTGCCTGGTAACATTTGAAGCTACCCATGTGTGTGTGTGTTGAACCTATTCAAACAATAAAGGTCCCAACTGTAGTGACAGACACTGCGGTTCTGCATCCTTCGTTGCGCGCAAGTGGCAGAAGAGGTGGCCAAGCTTGGGCGCACCGGGACACGTATGCCGCAAAGTTTTGCCCAGAGCGTCTGACTGAGTGGAACCAGCACGTCCAGGCGCACGCGGCAGCCCTGGCTATCACTAGGGTCCCAGTGTGGAAAATGTTTGATGAGTGAAATGTTTTCGTTGCTTAACTATGTTTTGAACTTTAAGGATGGCTCACATTCGATGGCACCAAAATGTGTTTAATTGGAGGCCCCGGAACGCGCAACCTTCAGCCACGCACGCTTCCAAGTTGAACTGTGCTTTCCAGACACTCAACATAACACGGGTCAACCCGCTGCCTACCACTAATGACACAGCAAAGCATTTTAACAACAAAGCGTGTCAAGGTTTGGTTTGGCGACTGCGCCTTTAAAGTCCAAGCGAATAACCTAAAGTCCTCAACTCAATCCTAACGAGGAAGTCTGTTTTTCAAAGATCCCAAGTCATTGGCCAGCTCAGCCTCACATGGTTCATCCCGAGGGGAAGAGGAGTATAGCAACCAACATGCCTATTCATCTGCGCAAAAAACAATTGTTGACATCAGCAGGGTCGACGCAGCAGTGCACCGAGCAACAGGTCTTGCTTCATGGGTTTCAGGGTAAAAGTTTCTGTTCAAAATGATGTTCTGGACGGTTGCGTTGCAGTGCTTAGCAGGATGATTGGCAGTTGTTTTTGTTTTGTCTGTGGCACACGGTGCGGCGAAATTACGTTCGTGATGTCGCTGTGCCATGCAGTTTGGCGCGGCATGGGTGGAGAGTGTGTTAGCGTGCCTTCAGGCCGGTTGCGAACGGGAAACCCGATGGCGTAAACGTGGCGTGTCGCTGGTGAGCGGGATGGTGCTGCAGGCCAGGGGTAAACTTGCCAACAATTATATATATTTAGACCCGCTGCCTCCTCCTTTCACTTTGGATTCCACACGGGGAAGGCAAGGCTGCATGGAGGCCACTATGTTCTCATTCAATGCCTTCAACGTGGACCCTTGCTCCTCCTTGACCGACCATAAAGTTTCAAGACCCGGTCAATCTCATTGTGGTGCCTGTCAACCAAAAACCTAAAGCTATCTCGGCTACTTGGTCCTTGTGCCACTCACCACTCAAGGGACCGGGCAGGTTTCTTAGTCACGATGGCATCCCGTGAAATGTGCTCCATACACTTCCCCATGAATGTGTGGCGCAGGGCGCAAGCTGTTGGTTACTTTGCCGCGGCCGATCCATCCCTCCTCATGCACACTGGCGGGCTAGCTCCTGAAGCCTAAAGCGCTTCTCGCTAGCCCTCGCTGCCCTGAGTTTGTTCAGTGATTGTTGCTATATACCACGGGGCAGCGTGCCTGTAAGGGTGAGAGGGTGTTGGACGCAGCGCGCTGCCGCACAACGCGCCAGATAGCCACTGGAATAGAGCAACCTGGTGTAACGCCGCTTTGCTGCGCAACCTAGCCAACCGTTGGCCCCTTTTCAATGTTCAGCTGTGGATACAAGTGCACAATCATGGATCCACTTGCCCACACGCGCACGCAGCGGAACTGTCGGGATTCATTGAAGGCAACCATGCTGACGCTGGTGCACGTTGGCAAGGATGTCCGCGCTTGGCCGTGGTGCATCATGGCATTGTATGTGCACCAGAGTTCTGTCACGCACACCGGCTCACACCGATGACTTCAGGCAAGCGCGCGAAAAGATGCTGCAGGAATACAATCGCGCATCCTGTAAGTGTAAGGACTTTAAAATGTTCAAGTCCTTTCTTGCTCTGCCAGATGATTCGCAACCAACCACACCTTGCACGCGCACACAGCTGTATCGTTTGGAGCTTGCACTGGACCCAGCTTCTGATTGCCTTGGCAGGTTCCAAAGCAATCCAATTCGATCCGCGTATGCGTCCCCCTTGCCGGTCTGAAAGATTGTATGTACATTGCGCGGTCGACGATGCTTAACATGCATAACCCTAAGCTGAAAACCCTGACATTTGTCCTTAATAATGTAAATCCGCGGGGCTCCAAAATCAACATCTCTAGTGGCCCCCATGCCCCAAATTTCTCTCGGAATATAGCAATAGCTTGCGTCGCGACAGCCTTTGTCACATGTCAAAAAATGCATTATATGATAGTGTTTTGAAGTGATGGATGCGCTTTGCCAACGCTCAAGAGTGTGACTCCACAGGACTTTCCTGAAGGCGAGTTGGACGAGTCACGTCAGCCCTTGGATCGTTCGATGACAAACAGTTGGACGCTTGCTCAGGAGGGAAAGCCATAGTTCAACCAGCCACTGTGGGAACAGATCGCTTGGCTTACACATCAATCCTTGCCCAGGTCGAGGCGCATTGAAGATGCTCCACAGTAGCGTTTGGATGAGGGACGGTGAGACTGCGATATGCCCTGTACATAGAGTGGTGTTTGGTTTTTGTGCTGTGGCCAAGGTCGCAACAGTTGAACTGCTACAGACGTTGGCTGCAAATACTGCAGCGCCATTCATTCTGTGCAGCAGGTTGGCCAGTGTACCGGGACCCAGCTTTAGTTCAGCTTGGCTTAGCAGCAACCTTGCCTAGCCAAGGTGATTGGACCAAAATGTGATGCCGCACCATTCGGACACATTGTCAATGTTAGCAGCGCTGACTTGCAATAAGTTCTCAAAACGTCAGCACTATGTTGAGCCAACCTTTTTGGGGGGGGTTGGTTGCCAGATGTGTATCATCTAAGGCGCTTTGGAAGGCAAATTTTCTGTGAAGAACAAGAGCTCGGGTCATCCCCACACTAACATGGCAAAAGCAGCCTTGAACATGATGACCCACACCTCTTGCAAGGAGCGCATGAGAGCACGGGCAGTTCTTTACCCGGAAACACGTTTCAATTGAGGACATGTTCCGCCGGCGCATCCTCATGAACTGTGCCAAGAGCTGAGAGAAGTTTTGGGATGGGTAAGAATGCTTGGGGTTAAGAATGGCTGAGTTATCAAGCACTTTGACGTGTTGGGCGAAGGCAGGGGGTTCTCCCCCATTCGCCCCGGAAGCATGCACACCCCGTGACCTGGAAAACTAATGCCAAGCGCCACTGCCATGACAAATCGTTACACAGGCCTTGCAAGCAAATGAGGCATTGTCAATTGTTGACATACCCAGAGTAAACACTTGGCCACAAGAGCGCCTGCCGTGGCACCTTCCCACAGCACTTGGCACGGACAAGTGGAGGCTGCACAGACAGCCGCGACTTCCTTTTTGTTATCAAATTGTTGGATTTGTTGCCCATTTGTTTGGAGGCAGTTTTCTATAGTTTCATGGAGTTTTACTTGAATATACATGCCATTTCACATCCACAAAGATCTTTGATCTTTGATGGAAGGTTTTAGAGAGGAAGCCTATCTGTGATGAAGGGCTCCGGAAGGGCTTTCACAGAGATCCAAAAGAAAACTGTTGAAATGAAAGCCTTTCGGCCACAGACCCGGAGGACAACTGTTGAAAGTTGAAGTGATTTCTTTTTTACATTCAAGAACATTGTCATGTAGAGGTGATCCTTCCCAAAGATCAAAATTTGAAGTGTGCATAAAAGTTCTTAATACTAAAAGTGATCATTCCCAGAGATCCAGAAAAAACAACGTTTGCAATGAAAGGCTTTATAGTTTTTAAGCATAGAAGTGGCCGTTCCCAAGGACCCAGAGGAAAGTCTTTAAAATTACAAAGTTTGATCATTTTTGATATAGGAGCAACCTATGGCCCGCATCTGATAAAATCACCCAAAAGGTAGGTACCGGGGGGGCGATATATATTTGTTTTTCGCATTTTTGAGCGAGTCAAGGTGACGTGCAAGGTTGCGCCAAAAGCTTGCACAGCCATTCAAATTGCAAGAGAATTCTCAGCTTCACGAGTCACTATTGTTGATGGATGGCCTCAAAAGTCACACAAGTCTACGCAACTACCGCTTGTACAAATTCCAAAGCCTGTGTGATTGAGCCTACATGTGAGAGTGCCTCTCGAATAGTGGCCCTGTAATCTACAGGGGGGTTGTTGGGCCTGAAACTGCGTGGAGTTTGCACAAAGCTTTTCACAGGTATTTGCGAGCAAACGTGCACGTCCTCGTTGAGCAGTGGCTCCAAGAGATTCCAAGAGTGCTAATCTCCCATGCAAAAGTTTCTGCCATGTGCCGGTGAAGTCGCCCGCAACAAGACACTGTGAGGAGAAGCAATCTGCTTCAGCCAGCGCAGAAGGAACGCCAAGTTCCAGGGAGGGTTCCACCAAGCCAAATTCAGGGAATGCGCCGCTTCAAAAGAACAGCCGAAGCAATGCAGCAACATTCTTGCGAAAAGCCAGTAGGCGCGACGCTTCGTGACGAGAATGATCGGTGACAAACCAGACGATGAAAATCCCCTTAACCATCCCCCCGCTGCAGTGTATTTTATGGTGAGGATGCGAAAACGTCACACAAACAAAAGCGCCGGCGCTTTTGTCAAGACTTTTTCTGCTGAGATACTGTACCTAGAAAGAATCGAAAGAATGTTTGACTGTTGGGAGAAGGGTCTCTTGATCTTTCTTGAAGTTTGATGGCCTTGAACTTTAAAGCCAGAGCAGCGCTAGCTTCACGTGAGCGAGCGATTGTGATCGCGTCGAAGGGCAAGCATCGCCCAGCAGGTGTGAATCTTCAAGGTCAAAACGCCTTGCACTGCCGAGTTCCACAAGCGTGCGGATTCGTCCATCATTGCTGCAAGATCCCTTACGAATAAGTTCTATGCTGATATGTCCCTGAATACAGCCCGGAGATGTTGAAGCTTTGGGAAGATGTTGCACGTATACCTCAGGTTTGCAGACACCTCACTTGGCCTGCCTAATTTGTTCTTTCCTTTGTCTCACCAGAACCCATCGTTTTGACTAAATGATGTTTTCAACTTTTTGCTTTCTCTAACTCCTCTCCGATACCCTAAACCCATTTAAGGATCAGAAGTCAAAAGCTCCCACACCTTCGCACACCTGTTGGGTTGGAAACACACAAGCTGGAGGAAGATATCATTTGAGTCATCGCTGGAGTCACCAGGGGAAGACTGAGGTGGATACAGGATGGGTGACAGATATGGCACCTGATGGAGTTGGGCAAGTGGCAGCAACTCACGACACGTGGGTGGGCCCACCATTAGATGAAGAGGCTCCGGGGCTTGACGCACTCAGAAATTGAACGCCAGCAAATTGGCCCTGCTCAGGATGGAGCAGCTCGGGTTCTGGACCCAATCTTCAGCCATTTGAAAGATCCCACGTGGCTTTTGCGTGGTAAATTCTTCAAGAACATTGGCTGAACGGCTATAAGCGTCACAACTTGAAGAGGTTGCTAACATGTGAGTTTATAGAAGAAATAATCCGAGGAATTATTACGCAACCTGGCTGGCACAAAGAGCTCTTTGTCCCCATGAAGTTGGCACGCTTTTTGTGGAAGAGGTCAACAGACAAGATACAAATTCATGAACTTGCATTTGTGTTCTCTCATCGTCTCAGGTTTGTGGATGGTGACGTCCTGAGATGCAAGAAGTTTCGAAGTGTCACCATGCCAATTCCGGCAGCGGAGAAAAACTGTGCCGATTGCCAGTGGTACCATGCGCAAGACTAATCCGGTCCCAAGAAGATGTTTGAGCGTGCATTTTGCCGACAGGTTTCAGAAGACAATGCTAGGTTAGGCAATACGCACAAGGCAGCACACCAGAAACTGTTGATATGCAGCTAGCGCCTCTCCAATTAAACAGTTTGTGGAACGCTTTGCGCAGCAAAGCTTGCCCTTCTTGAGACGTTCACACCCCGTATGTTGCTATCTTTACTGTGCATTTCTCATTGGCCTTTTGCCGTGACAAACCTGCGGGACAAGTAATGAACTGCAACCAGCTTGAAAGCAAGCGAAGATGGGGCAGATGGAGCAAGGACCACAGTTGCCTCCCATTCGTTGAGGGCATCAGTTTGCATCATAGTGTTTCTGCATGAGGCCACCGTTGGAAAACAAGGCTCGGCAGAAATAGCTGTTGGTAGCAAGAAGAGTAATGCGACTACTCACTATCCCTATCTTCTGCAGGCAGTGTTCACTTACTAATTAGGAAGCGGCCTATGACTCAATTTCAGTGCCTGTCATGTCAGTGCCCATCCGCCATTCATGCTATGAAGGCAAAGTGTTGACTGTTTGAGCTGAGAGTACTGGAGTCATTTGACGCTACAGGGGCAACATTCATCTTCAAGTGTATATATATAAATAGTTAAATATATACTGAGGGGCACCTGCCTTTCTGGATCTGTCCGGTATGTTTGTTTCGACTCCCTCCGCCGGGTTCAGGCTTCACCCAGCCGAAGTGAAGGAAATGTGAAAAAGGCATGCAAAGAGAAAGGCCAACCTGGTGAACCTGCCCCGACCAAGGTTCCAATTCAACATATGCATGATGTCGTAGTGGTTGCATGCAACTTGTACAAAGCATTGTCATTGATGGGGGATGCGGAAGCTTGCACCAGTCCCTCACCGCCTAAATTACTAAAGCAACGAAAAACAAATCACAAGAAGCACTCGAAACACACACGCAATGCCGGGATGCTGTTGCATTGGCAGCTGCCAAAACCCTGTTGAAGCGAGTGGCACTTTTCGGCAAGACTGTTGAAGTGCAGGTGCAGCAGGACCGCATGCATGGAGACTCAGTACGTTCGAAGTGTTGCACGGATGTTGTGGCTTCCCAAGCGAGGCCTCATTTTGACGGTGCACGGACGCTGTTTGCCATGTGGATTGTGCTGCGGGCCCAGCCCAGTCTCCACTCCCAAGCAGAGAGATTCGCACAGTTTTCCTTACAGGTGCCATCACATGGCTCCGCGGGAACCTACTTCCTGCTTGGATGCTATGCTCGTGAGTGCCGAGCTCAGTTTGAACGACTTTCGGTGGGGAATGTGGTGCCCCATACATCATGCTTGCAGGGTATTGGAAACATGAGCGTCATGAGCTTTGTTTAAGAGCAGTAGCGCGCATACTGTGCACAGTGGTATGCAGTGGCCCTTGTTTCTGAATTCTCAGCCAATCGTCACTCATTGTCGTGGGATACTTTGTCAATCTTTGTCAGGGAAGCAAGGACGCCATAGGCGACCTTCCCTGCAGAATTATATATATATGATATATTTGTAGTATATGTTTGCAGTGTTTTGTATCAATGAGGGATAAGAACGACTTCCCTGAATGGTGTTTCCCCTTCCTGAATTGGTGTTGTTCCTTCCCGGAGTGTTTTTCGTTCCCCACCAAGTGTTTTTCCTTCCCTTGTTGATCTTATTGTGCTGGTATAGCGCCAAGTTCTAATACTCGCTAGGTCTTCAATTGAATCTCCGGCGAAATTTCTTCGCAGCCGGTTGTTTTCAAATCTCGTGTCCGTATTTGGAAAGTCACAGCTCGGCGTATTTTCCCATAATGGTTTGTTCATCGATGGCTTTTATACCTAGGTCCACCTGGTGGACGAAAAAAGTGCCGCTCCATTGTGGCCAAAATTTTTGCCACCAGAGTGGAAAATTGCCGTCATCCAAAAAAAACGCCGCCAGAAGAACAAAACGCCGCATTCCATATATGGGGAAGGATGGTGCATGTCTCCTCCACGCCAGGCTCAAGGATACCCACTTAGATTCCCCAAGCAACACCAGGTAGAAACCAAACCCCCACACTCACCTCCACGACAACGTCATCGCAATCCCAAATCCCTGACCTGGCAATTTACCCAACTATACCCAACTTCTGGTACTCAGGGTCATTCTCCAAGGTCATTGTGCAAGCTCTGACAATTGACCACCCCTAACAAGAGTTTTTGTGCTCATGTGTATGCTACACCCTGATAAGCCAAGCAATCTCAGTGGTCCATGGTTGACAATTGCTGCCAAAATGATTACGGGCTTGAGGAAACGAGATCCGCACCTTTTATCGCTTGTGCAACAAATGCCTACGGTGTTCACACCGCAGTGGTTCATGGGACAAGAGAGTCCCCCTTTTCGCTCATGCGAAAAATGCGATCTTTTTGATCGGGGCTCAAGGCATTTGCGAACTTGCTGGGCGTTGTGAGCACTTGCTTCGATAGTACTCCGCCCTCATTCGGTCCATTGACCACCCTTTGGATGCATTCATCTTTTGAAATATTTCCATGGATTCATCGGAACCTTTTCAGCCGGCCGGCTGTCCTTCGAAGAAGGGCCTTCCGCCGCTCTTTGCAGCAGCTCCGAAGCCTTCTCTACGCTCTCAGCCGCACGGTCCGCTGCATTGGCTGCTCTCAGGGCATTTCGAGCGGCTTTCTTTGCTTCTTCAACTGCTTCTGTCACGGCCTAGATGGCCGAGCTGCTGGATGAAGATGGCGGTTCTTCCTGCCTCTCATGAGCCTGATTTGCCCTTTGTCGCAAGGTCTCATGTGCTATACTATAGATGATTGGCCAGCACTGCCTTGCCATTTCAAAGTCCTCACCGTAGAGCTCCGCCGGGTCATAGTGCCTTCCCTTTGAGCTCCTTCTTTACTTGGTATCGTCCTTTGGGCGTCAACACCCACTGCATTTTCTTCTACGCTATCCCTTCCATCGTCGCGGCATACACCTTCTCCACATAGCCCCGCGACCTGGTAGGTGTTCTTCTCATACGTGGCGGCCGCATACTCAATGGTGTAGGAACCCCTTCATTTTCACTTTCCTCGTCTTCCCCTGTGTGTTCTCTTGGTGATTTCACACAAAGTCGACGAATGCAGCACCGCACCGAGCTACACACAGTCTTCAGCGCCCAGAAGGCTCCGATGATCGCCAGAATGATGCCACATGTCCACAGGGCATCAACTGAAGAAGGCGTCTCTTGGGTGCTCATAGTCGGATCACCTTGCGCTTCAGCTGCTTTGACCAACAAACCACCCACAACCAAAGCACGTAGAGCTCCTTAGGTCATGATTTTGTCCTCCCAAGGCAGCCTTGCTCAGCTTTGCCCCACTGGCCTTCAGACCAAGGTCTCTCAAGAAACCAGCGAAGCTCTGACCAGCCAGTGGCTTTGTCATTCCATCCGGCATTGTCACCGTAAAGGACTTGCTCCAACGTCACGTGTTCTTGGCGTCGAGCTCCTCCCCCCACACGGCGCACCAAAGAGCCTCTGTTGCTCTTCCAGCTGTGAGCGTTTCACAGTAGGACACCAGCTCTGCCTCCGCCGTACTGTGGGTGACAAATGGTTGAGTCGAGCTTTGCCATGCTATCGGAGCTCTGGCCAGGCTCACCATCAAGCCTTGTCACGCTGCGATGACCCGTGCCCGAGCCGTAGGCAATGTCCGCGAACACCTCCAAAAGCTTCTCATGGCGTGCCACCTTCAGCTGTCCACGGGCCCCCACTTCTCTTTTACCCAGCGAGAGTAATGAAGATCTCCTGGAGTTCCTTTGATGTAGGCGAGCAACACGTGAGCAATCTCTATGGCTTTCACCGGATTGCGGGCCACCAGCCTGCTAACAGCCGCCACCCCATACGACAGGTCCGGTCTCGAACGAGTCGAAAGCCAAAGGAGGGAGCCAGCTAGGGCTTGTGCTTCACGAACCTTGTTTCGATCCACCTCCTCCTCCTGTTCACAGTCGGCCTCTCCAAGCTTGAAGTGTGGGAAGGACAAAGGCATGCCCACCTTCCAGCGAGTCAGAAGTTCTTGCTCGTACTTCTTCTGTGAGACGCGGTAACCATCACCCTCCTCATCAATCGTGACTTCAAACCCACAGAAGTGCACAGGTGTGGTAGGTGATGCCCACTCAACGCTGGAAGTTGCCCACGTGGATTGCAAGGTTGTGAGAGCAGCTGCAATTGCTTCCTCCTCCCCTGACATCAGGATGTCATCAACATATACGGACATCAGGCCAGACCAAAGCTGCCCCGAGATCGTCTCCGTCTCCTCCAGGCGCCATAGGTTCTCATCGGCCGTTTTGGTGAAGTAACCCCGAACCTTGCTGCGGTCTTCTCTCACGCGAACCCAACACGATATTTTGACCAGTCACTTGGAGACGTTGTCAGGCCCATAGCTAGTCGAACCAACCAAACATCTCCTTCCTTGGCCAGGCCGAGCCGCTTGTAGACCGTTGGAATCTCCATCGCTACAAGCTTGCCATTGAGTGCTGATGTTCTCAGCAAGGCTCTCACTTGGCATCCATCAGCGCCACCTGCATAGCAGTCACTGCTGAAGTGGGAGTCGGAGTAGTTGCCGCACACCACGGCGTCTTTGACCTGCTCCGGCCTTGCGGGTGTAGACCATCTTTGCCGGCAGCAACTCAATGGTCTTCTGCTGCCTTTCAGCTCGATGGTGAAGCTCCTTTTTGGAGATTTGCTCCACCGCTTCTTTGGTCGTGACCAATTGGTTGTACTCGGCTGTGATCGATGGCACCCAATTTGCGAAATCATCCATGACCTCCTTGTTGCTCACTGTCCGAGTGATCAAGAATTCTTCCTCCAACTCTTTCTGGTCCACCGCTTGGCCATCTTGATCAGCCTTCAACAAAATCTCTTCGGCCTCAACCTTATGCATGATGGCGTCGGTGAGCACTTCCATATAGCAACCTTGTTCATGGTTGGTGACATCGATATGCTGCATCTCCTCACCAACCTCCGCCAGATTTGCTTGAATCTTGCGAATGAAGTTGACCTTCGTGAGAGGAGCATTCCCAAGTGCCACTTTCTTCAGTGAGGCCACCAGGCTTGAGCCACCGTCCTGGTTGTTAGGCGCCTCCGCCCACTCCCCTCCTCCAGGCGAGTCCACCTCCAAAGAACCCAATGCACTTTGGGAAGCTCCCTCACTGGATGAAGATCGATCTGGCGTTTCGATGGTCCAGCTGTCACTGCTCACCTCACCTGAAAACAAAGAAGCATCTTGCGGTGGGAGAGTGTCGAACTGGTCCCGATGCAAACAAAGCCACTGTTGGACCCACTCCTCCCCCTCCATGTGCAACATGGAAAGTTGCGGAACAGCAGTTTTTTCCCGAAGCCTGCGGCGTGGTACACCGCCTTCCCAAAAAACACGGGACGTCTGATTGGGCAGTTCTGGCAAGTGGACCAAAGCCTCCGGAGCCTCTGGTTGATCAGCTGTTGGGACCACCACATCATCGGTGTAAAAATACCTTTGAGTCTCAACCGACTGGACATAGTAACTTGTGGTTGTCAATGAGGATTGAATGGCGGGACGCAAAACAATCACTTCATCCCTGATTTCACGCCAGGGATGATACCTGTCTTGCCAGGATTTCTTCAAAGCAAAGGCACGGGCTCCGAAGTGCAAGAGCGGGCCCACTGGACATCCAAGGCTCCTCAATTGGCCTCTCAAGCGGCGTTCCCCGATGCGGATGGCTGCCAATGGCCAAAACTCCAGGCCTTTGCCCAACGCGGCGACCACCGTTCGAACATGCTTCTTGATGACCCCCAGCTCCCCCTCCACACGGCCATTGGACTTGAACGAGTCACCTGATGTCAGTGTGGTGACTATACCTCGATCCAAAGTCCATCGCCTCAGTGGCGCTGTGGCGCTGAGATCAGTTCCCGTGCACCATCACAGTGTAGACGGTACACTGGAAGCCCTAGGCTCCTGAGTCGGGCATAGATTCTAGCCAGAGCTGGAAGGATGTGCGTGACCGCTCGGCCAGGAAGCACTTCTACAAAAGTCAAATTGCGAACCCTGACCCCTTGATCCTCCTCCACTGCTTTGTGCCATGCCTCAAACTCTTCTCGGCCCCGACGAACAACAGGCCACACCGCCAGCAACAACATCCTCCGCCACATCCTCCCCCGGACCCCGTGCCTCATCCTCCTCCAACATCACCGCATCACCTGGTTCACCAGGTGCTTCTGAGGGCGTGTACTCCTCTGTGTCCACGTTGAAGGATCTGCATCATC